AATTGATCCTTTAATCATTATATAACATCCTTCCTTGTCTCTTATGTTGGTTTTTGTCCTAAAGTTGATTTTATCAGAAATTAATATTGCGACTCCTGCTCTTTTACAGTTGCCATTTGCTTGATACATCTTTTTCCAACCTTTGATTTTTAGTCTGTTTTTGTCTTTTTCTTTACTGTGTGTCTCTTGTAGACAACATATTGATGGGTTTTGTATTCTTATCCAGTCTGCAACTCTCCATCTTTGGAGTGGTGCATTTAATCCATTGACTTTCAGTGTAGTTATCAACAAGTATGAATTGGTTGCTGTCATTTTGTTATGTTTTTTTTCATGGTGTTCCTGGTTTCTTTGTTCCATATAATTTTCTGTGCTGAGCTCATTATGTTTATGAATCGTGTTATCATTTCCTTTGTTGCTATTGTTTTAGTATTTGCTGAATATTTGCACTTGTCCTCTTTTTTATTGTGATGTGAACGTTTATCATTTTTCTTTGAGTTTACCCTGTGATTTATAATTTTCTCCCTGAGTTTAGAACAGTCCATTCTATTTTGACTTCCTCACCATTGAGAAGTTCTGTAACTACACTGTTTTTCCCCTCTTTGTGGTTTATAGTTGTCCTCATTTCCCAATTATGTCTGTGGTTCCTTGTTTGCAGTCTTATAACCTTATTTTACTTTGGATACAGCCATAGCTATGTTGGTTTCTGGATTATGTCATCTTGTGTATCACTGGTCAGTTGTTTGCTATTATTCGTCCTTAGTTTGAAGGACTCCCTTGAGTATCTCTTGTAGGGTTGGTCTGGTTTTAACAAATTCCCTTAATTTCTGCTTATCTGGAAATTTCCTAATTTCACCATCATTTTTGAGTTATAATTTCGCTGGGTATATAATTCTTAGTAGGAGATTTTTCTCTTTCAGGGTTTTATATATACCTTCCCATTGCCTTCTTGCTTGCATGGTTTCTGCTGAGAAATCAGAGCTTATTCTTACTGGTTTTACTTTGTAGGTAACTTCTTTTTTCCCCATGATACTTTAAGGATTCTTTCTTTGCCTTTAGTTTGGTGAGTTTGATGATGCTATGTCTTGGTGATTTTCATTTAGGGTTAGTTGGCTTTCCTGAATGAATTTATTCTCATCTTTCATCATATCAGGGAAGTTTTCTTCCAACAAATCTTGGACACTTTTCTCAGTGGTTTTCTTTTTCTCTTGTTCTGGGATTCTGATGACACGTGGGTTATTCCTTTTGATGGTATCCCACATGAACCTTAGGCTGTCTTCATTTTGTTTTGATCTTTTTTCTGATTGATCCCTTTCCAAAGAAGTATTGAGGTATTTGTCTTCGGTCTCATTAATTCTGTCTTCCATTTTTTCGATTCTGCTTGTTTGCCATTTCAATGTGTTATCTATTTCTGAAAGTTTAGTATTCATCTTCTGGATTTCTATATGTAGGTTTTGTATCATTTCTAATTTTTCATTTATTTTGTCATTTTGTTCTTGTATTTTCTTCTGAAATTGTTCTATGCTTTTGTCTGTGTTTTCCTTAATTTTGTCATTGTTTTCCTTGATCTGTATCCCTGTCCTTTCAAGGTACCTAAGTATAATTCTTTTGACTTCTATATTAGAGAATTCCTATGCTGCTGCTTCCTCAGATATGTGTTTGAGTTTGTATCCTGGTCCCTCGTTTCTACCACTTTATCTTCTTTGTGTGGGCTGTGGTGGTCTGTTGTCTCCGAGACATTGTGACATTGTTGTATTTAGATCTCTGTGAACTGTTTGTGAAGAGCAGTTAAGGGTGAGTCAGGCTCTTCTTGGTGGTCATTTATTGTTGGTGGCGAAGGAAGTGATGGCTCTCACTTAGTTAATGGAGCTGCCAGGAGGTGGGGGTGTGGTTGCATTGTGTGTGCACGGTTGCTGTCTCCCACTCAGTTAGACAAAAACAACAATCAAAAAACCATTGAAAGAGTGAAAGCAAGTATACAAAAAACCACATAAACACACAGGAACAGTCTCCAAAAGATAGAAAAAGAAAGGGAAAAGGAAAAGAAAAAAAAAGCCCTGTGGTATCTGGAGGAGGGGACAATAAAAGAAAAGAGGTAGAGTAGGGGAATAATGAAGAAAACAATGGGAAAAATGCAAAAAGAAAAACAAGGAATGTAGTTAATCACAAGAAAGTGAATAAAATGGGAATTAGGAATGGGCAAGAGAGAAAAAGCTGAAAACTAGAACCTGGGAAAGGAAGAATAAAGAATAATAATAAAGATGAAAAAGAAAAGACTAATACTGATAGTAATAATTTTGAAACAGACAAAATCAATCAAACAAAAAAAAAGGATAAAAAATCTGGACAGGGCAGGGTACCCAAGCTCTGTCAGTGCACACAGCCGAATGGAATTCCTTCCGGCCCAGAAGGTGGGTGGGAATGAGGGATGGCCACACCTCCGTTCTCCAAGAGAGTGTGGGGTATAAGAGTAACAAGGGGAATATACCACTTTTCCAGTCGTTTGCGCCTGGACTGTCTTTGCAGTTTCCAACAGGTGGAGCCGTTTGTTAGGTCCCTGGAATCTGAGAGAATGCTGTCGCTTTAAATATCCAAAATGGTCAGACCACTAGTAAACATTCAAAATGGCTTCACCTTCCAGAAGGACAAAAGTCTATGGCTCAGCCTGTTTCCCTCTTTGCTGTTTGCTCTTTTTTTCACCGATCAGCATTGCAGTCCTCTGTGCAGCCACTGGCTGTTGTTGTTGTTGTTATGTGCCATCGAGTCGGCCCCGACTCATAGCGACCCCTCCTTGGGTTTCCGAGGCAGTATCACTACGGAAGTAGGATTGCCCAACCTTCCTTCCGAGGAGTGGCTGGTGGGTTTGAACCGCCAGCCGTCTGGTTAGCAGGCAAGTGACTTAGCCACTATGCTACCAGAGCTCCCGCAGCCACTGGCTAGCAGGGCCGAATTTTAGGTTAATTCTTAAGGTCCTTACACCACTTGGCAATATCCAAGCCATCTGTATTGTCAGGATTGCTGACAGACCACAGCTCTGTGTGTCTCCTTTTTTGGTGTTTTCATGCAGGTTCTTCTAGTTGGAGTTTAGTCCAATTTTGTATCCTTCCTTTCAAAGCTCAGGGTTACAGGATTATGTTCTGTGTCTGCATTAATTGGTTTCCCTTTTTTTTTTGTTGAAGAGGGTTTGTGTAGTTTGCCTATTCCACCATCTTACCTGACCCCCTGGCCATTTGAGATATCTTCATTTAGAAGCTGTCAAACCCACTGTGGTAAATGCAAGCTTTTCAAAATTCTCATAGTCTGCTGAAGGTGATAGGCTTACCTTGATGTTTTTTCAGTAAATAGCTTTATATTATTAATCATTCTTTCAAGTAAAAACGATCAGTAAAGAAATCAGCTAGTTCCACTTTGTAATTCAAGCAGTTATGTATTGTGTATTGATATGCAAGAGTTTTTCATGCAGAGTATGAAAAAGATAATGTACACGATTGAAATTTAATGGGACTAATAATTTTACTGCTTCACCAAGGGTGTTCTTAAGTGAAACTGATGTTGTTACTTTGAGAGTTGATTATGGTAAAGGATAACAGTGGCTACTAGTTCAGTTTGGTGCTCTTTCCTTGTTTCTTGTTTAGGCACCAATAGATTACCCTACATTACTTTTCACTTTTACTGTGACTGTCAACACAGTGAAAAATAAAATATCTATTATTATTATGAAAATAGTTTTTGTCCCTTAGAGCTCTTGAAAGGGTCTTGGGGTATGCAAACTACATGTTGAGAATGCTAATTTACATAATTCTTTTTTGATAGACATTCAGGCTATTTCCAAATTTTCTGAAATTTACATCTTTGTACAAACATTTTTGCTTAGTCATAAAATTGTATGAGACATTTTTATTTTTTTAAAAATGGTTGCAAGTCGTCCCCCCCCCCCCCAAGTATAGTATACTCTGTACTATCCAGGGTATACTGCTTGACCACTTTTTTTCTCAGAGTAAAGTACTTGACCACTTTTTAAAAAAATGTAATAGTTGGCAAATGCAGACAAATCATATAGAAACTGGAATGCTTCTCCTTATTTCTAAGTTCTAACTGGGGTGAGGATTAATCAGAGTTATGAAATGCATGTCCATTTGGAAACTTATTTAGACAGCATCTTAAAGACACAGCATCTTTATCAATAAGAAAATGGAATTTCCCATTAACTGTATTTTGGTGTAGTAATTCAGAAAATATTGCATTTAATTATGCTAAAAGTACTTTGGGTTCATAGCATTTATTTAAGTGTAATTCATGATATTACATGAGTTTATCTTCAAGTTATTAGAATAAAAAAAAAAAAACAGAATAAAAATATCTAGAAATTCACATACATTATTCCAGAAATTAAACTGTGGCAGCATTACTCAGTGGATCCTTTTATTGAATTTTATTCTTGAACATGTGAGTTTGATTAAACACAGAATCACATTTAGTAGTTTTCCAAACCCTTCTAGCATTCATCTCTGTCCCTCTTAAACTAATACCTTTTTGTTTTTCTGAAAAATTACCTTTCCTTTTCCTCACCTTTTTATCTGGTTCAGTGCCTTTGCTTGTACTTTCATAAGTAACATGTCCTTGATTATATCTATTGTAGCATTTAACACACTTTAGTCGTCTCTTACAACTCACTGTCGTGGAATCGGATCCAACTCATAGCGACCCCTCTTTGAGTTTCTGAGGCGGTATCACTACGAAAGTAGATTGCCCATCCTTCCTTCCAAGGAGTGGCTGATGGTTTTAATCGCCAGCCTTCTGGTTAGCGGTCAAATGTATGAATTCCTCTGAGGGATGCGCTTCTGTGGGGCTACAGAAAATTTGTTATATAGTATGTAAAAAAAACCAAAACAAAACAAACCCTACTTTTTAAAGCAAAGAAAGAGAGAAACTATTTATATTTGCAACCATAAACCAACCACCATTTTCTGACACTTTTTTTTTTTTTAAATTTTTCTTTAAAGATGGGCACTCTGGTTTTTTAAAAATGATAAAAGCAAAACTTGGCAAGCAAACCTTCGGCTCATCTCTAAGTTTGATACTGTTGAAGACTTTTGGGCGTAAGTAACCATTTATTTCAGGGTATTTGTTGTTGTATTAGTTGTATAGTTTTTACTTTTGATGGCATAATTTCTGTATGTTAATACTTGGGAGGCTGTATCTGTCATTAATTGAAGCTTCCTTGTAAGCCACATTTAGAAAATGAAGGCTGGTAGTGAATAATAGTTCCAAGTATTCTCTGTAGAACTATGTTTATTGTTTGTCCATCTCCTCACTGTTTGAATTGGTGAATGTTCTTAATCAGTTTTAGAAAGTTTCAGTCTTAACATTTATTAGCTTTGAATACCCTCTATACCTTCTTGCTAAGATACCTTTCCACCACTTGTTCATTAGCTTTGATGCTGAAGCTACACCACCAGTATTTCAAATGCTAGCAGGGTCACCCCTGGTGGACAGGTTTCAGCAGAGCTTCCAGAGTAAGACAGACTGGGAAGAAATACCTAGTGATCTATTTTTGAAAAAATTGACCACAGAAAACCTCATGAATAATAGCAGAACCTTCTAGAGTATGACCTTGAACGTATCCCACCTGGTTTTAGAGACCATCTCTAGAATAGATTTGATGCATTGAACACTAATGACCAAAGACCGGGTGAGTTATGGGATGACATCAAGGACATCATACATGAAATAAGCAAAAGGTTATTAAAAAGACAGGAAAGAAACAAAAGACCAAAACAAACATTAGAAGAGACTCTGAAACTTAGCCTTGAATGTGGAGTAGCTAAAGCTAACTGGAAAAAATTATGTAAAAGACCTGAACACAATATTACAAGGGGTGGCTCAAGAAGACGAAGTATTCTAAGGAAATGTACAAAGACCTAGAGTTAGAAAACCAAAAGGGGAGAACATGCTCAGCATACCTCAATCTTAAAGAACTGAAGAAAAAATTCAAACCTCAAATTGCAATATTGAAGGATTCTAGCAGCAAAATATTGAATGACTTGAGAACTGTCAAAAGAAGATGGAAGGACTTTCACAGTCACTGTACCAGAAAGAATTGGTTGAGAAGTTCAGCCATTTCAAGAGGAAGCATAAGATCCAAGAATCAGTGGTATTGAAGGAAGATGTTCAAGCTGTTCCAAAGGCATTGATGAAAAACAAGGCTCCAGGAATTGATTGAATTACCAATTAACACATTTCAACAAATGGATGCAGTGGTGGAAACACTCATCTATGCCAAGATTGGAAGAGAACTACCTGGCCAACTGATGGGAAGAGATGCATATTTGTGCCCATTCTAAAGAAAGGTGATCCAACAGGATGCAGAAATTATCAAACATCATTAGTGTCATTGTATAGAGTCCCTATGAGTTGTAATTAATGTGAAAGTCATAAATTTTGGGGTTTATCATTAATATCACACATAAGTAAAATTTTGCTGAAAATAATTTAAAAAATGATTACAGCAGTACATCAGTAGGGAACTGCTAGAGATTCAAGCTGGATTCAGAAAAGGATGTAGAAAGAGGGATATCATTACTACTGTCAGATGGATCTTGGCTGAAAGGAAAGAATACCAAAAAGAATTAAACGCATTAAAAATCTGTGAAAATAGTAAGTAACACCAGAACTTGATTCTTGAACTAACAATTGAGATCTGTTTTGTCCATTTCAATAACTGAGTTTGTAGAAAAAGTAAACATGACCTTTTATCTGTTTATTTTTCCTTATATTCTTAAAATATATGTGTATGCACTTAAACTCTACATTGCATATTCTGTATTTATAATTGCCCTTTTCTTTTACCTAGCTTGTACAACCATATCCAGTTATCTAGTAATTTAATGCCTGGCTGTGACTACTCACTTTTTAAGGTATGTTTAATCTTTTTATATTCAGTGTAGGACTGAACCATTCACATATTCCTTAAGAAATCTTGCCACATGCTTAGGAATAATTAATACTGTGATGAACAGGTAGTAATTAAATTGCCTTAACTAGACTTAACATAAATATATTTTTCCCTATTTATTTATCATACAAATAGGTCTTTAAAATTAGAGTCTTACTCTATGGGCACAGACTGTGTTTCATTTTGAGAAGAGCTTTCATCATATCCTTTTTTTATATATTTGAAGACATTGAAGTCCTGAGTTTTTCAGGAATTTTAAACCTGGGATGCATAAGTCTTTGAGAGATTTCATGAAAGGGGTTTGTCAGTGATAGGAAGGTGGTGGCCTTCAGTAACGGAAATTGCACAATTTTGCACTTGTTTTTCTGGATATGAAAATTTGTCACCAATCCCATGAGTGTCTGAGTAGAGCTCTTCTCCATAGGTTTGCAATGACTGATTTTCTGGAAGTTGATTGCTAGGCCTTTTTTCTGAGGCACCTAATGAATGGACTTAAACCTTCAACTTTTTGGTAGCAGCCCTGTTCGTACCACTCTGGGGCTCAAGGAAAGTGTACATAGCTTCTCAAAGGCATCTGTTACTCAGAAAGTTAGGAGGAACTTTGAAACCAAGGTTTTATAACTAATAAATGATAAAGCCAAGACACTTATTCTGTAATCCTATGCTTTGGCTTTAAGTCTTCTGAGGAATAAAGTAAAAAGTTAACAGAGTTGTTATTTGCTCTTTCTGATGATTCTCTTTCAAAGGCAGGGTAACAATATTGTCTAGTATTCTCTTTTACTCTGTAGGATGGTATTGAGCCCATGTGGGAAGATGAGAAAAACAAACGAGGAGGACGATGGCTAATTACATTGAACAAACAGCAGAGACGAAGTGACCTCGATCGCTTTTGGCTAGAGACAGTAAGCTTTTAAAATTATAAAATAATTTTAGAGGCACTTCTGGAATACTGAAACTTAAGTATGCTGCATTTTTTGGTTGGTTGCCTTAAAAGTCATTCTACACTTCATCTCAGCCAAAAGCTGAAAAGTGATGGGATAGCTCACTTTAGAAAAACATAAGCCAGGATTTTTTTTGTTTTTGTTGTTCTGTCATGTGAATTCTATGTATTTTACATATTAGTACAGTGAATCAACAACCCCCACACACATACCCCATTGCCAAACCACAAGTCTGATAAAAAGTGACTGACAGTTGACAGTTTCTTACTATAAGCTCACCCAGTTGCTTGTTAACCTAACAGTTACAGAACCTCATTGATACAAACCATGAAATTGTTACTTGACACCATTCAACTTAAGATGTTGTGATGTAGTCTGGAATTTTTACTTTACAAAATTTATGTTAAACATAAGATAACGGGCATTTTCTATAGTTAGAGATTCCAAACCCCAGGCTTTTAGGAGCAGAATTCATAGTCTGTTCCTCTTTTTATTTCTAGGACTTGGGAACAGTGTCTGATTTACAGTTCCTGTTGTCATCAAGTCAGTTCTAACTCATAGCAACCCTTTAGGACAGAGATCTGCCTCACAGGCAGAGTAGAACTAACCCATAGGGTATCCAAGGCTGTAAATCTTTCTCCTGTGGAGCATCTGGTGGGTTCGAAGTGCCGCTGTTTTGTTTCACAGCTGAATGTTTTAACAACACCACTAGAACTCCTCATTTATAGTTAGCACTATAAATACTTGATGAATGGTGTTTTGTTTTTTTTTAAAGACAGTTCTTCATTTTGCTTTTGGGAGAGGTTATCAGTATTATCAATATTTTAAAATTCCATATTAAAAATTTTAGATAAAGAACTAGATGCATAAATAGAATCTAGGCATTTTAAAAATCAACTCTAGTTAAAAAGTGATGGGAAAAATAGAACAACTAAATGGGGTAAGTTCAAATTTAACAAAATTACTAATTATTAATGAACAATAGTATCTCCTCATGTAGAAAAAAATAATCCATTGAATATACTTTTTTTCTTTCAAGCTGCTGTGCCTTATTGGAGAATCTTTTGATGACTACAGTGATGATGTATGTGGAGCTGTTGTTAATGTTAGAGCTAAAGGTGATAAGATAGCAATATGGACTACTGAATGTGAAAACAGAGATGCTGTTACACATATAGGGTAAGTTTTACTGTTTACCTACTTTTTTTTTTTTTTTTTAACAATATAGAGATAACTAAATATAGAAATAGTTTTATCTAGAGGTTTAGAAATATTTTCCTTGTATTGTTTTCATGGACACTTTTGTAATTTTAAACTATTGGTGCTTAATGTCTTATTCATGCTCTTTTCGTTTCCATAAAATTGCTTTCTACTTCGGCATGTAGCATTTTACTCTTTTACTGGGTGAATATATGACTCTTCATATTTTGAAATTGTAGCACTAATGTATAATACTCATAAATCAGTGAGTACTGGCAAATGGTGAATGTTTATTTTGTTTTTGTGTGTGCATGCACATAAGAGTTTTTACTGAAATTTAAGTGACATACCTTGGTTTTGTCCATATTTGAAAATTGAGGTAATACTTGAGCAGTTCTGTTTTCTGTAAACATGTGTAGGTTTTTGTACATTTTATTTTGAGTTTTATTATTTGTAAAAACAGTCAACTGTTTTGTGTTGTCTTTTCCCCTTAACAGTAGTGTTAACTCTAATTTTCATTTAAATAAGTAAAATGATTTTAGATTTTGTGTTAAAATATTAAGTATTGGTCATGGGTGACAAAATATTTGATTTGACTCTGTGTGTGATTTTTCAAACATTATGAATTCTCATATGAACAAAATTCCTCCCTAAAATATAAGATGGAATTTTCCAGGTTTTCATTTACCTGAGTTTTTGAAGGTGGAAAAAAAAGGAATTACACCTACCCCTCATTTATTAAGTGTCTTGCTGCTTGATGATTTGCATTTATGACAATAGTTTATAACGATCTATCCTACTATTTTGCATGTTAACAACATACGTGTGGCAGTTACAAACGCCAAGATGCAAGTCAACTGTAACCTTGGATATGGTGGTTAAGGTTTTGTGACCACTTGGCTGGGACATGAGTCTCAGCGGTTTGGCCATTATGGTATAATTTGGCGGTTTTCTAATTAATACGCAGTCATCCTCCATTTTGTGATCCAGTGTGGCCATCCTTTTTTTTTTTTTTTTAAATAAATGTCAGTAAGTGAGTGTTGTAAATTGTAGATTTTACATTGTATTCTAGACTTTTTTGTCAGCATCAAAATTTGTTAATTGTGGATTTTCACATTTTTTGAAAATGAGAATTAAATTGAGGATGCTTACTTGTGTCAACATTAAAAGTTTTTCATGTTTGTATAAAACACTTTGACTTCAGTTTTTCAAGGAAAGATTTCTTTTTCACCCTCACCAATTTGCATGGCCCAGTATTCTTGCTATCAGTTATTTGTAACAAATTAAGTATAATTAAAAGAAATATATTATATCATAACCCAGGAATTATAAATCTGACAATAATACTAATTTTGTTATAAAATAATTTTTTAAAAACTTATTAGGGGGAACATAATAAATTCTTATGGAGGATAGAAGTCATGAATGAAGAAATGATGCAAGTATAATGTTGGAGAATTTAGCTCCATGAAAATGGTTTCCATTATTTTTGTCTCTGTTTATTTCTTAAATTTTGCCATTTTTTCTTAAAGATTCAAATTCCAAAGGTGTGACCTGTTGCCCTCTGGCATCTGTCCTGAGAAACCTCGTTACTCTTCTCTCATATTCACTATCAGCCTTATGTTTGTTCCTTGGCCTTTGTCTGTGCTTTGGTCTTTTGGCATTATTCTTTTGATCTCATGACTTTCATAGAGTTGTTGTTGTTGTTGTTGTTTGCCATCGAGTCGGCCCCGACTCATAGCGACCCCTCCTTGGGTTTCCGAGGCAGTATCACTACGGAAGTAGGATTGCCCAAGCTTCCTTCCGAGGAGTGGCTGGTGGGTTTGAACCGCCAGCCTTCTGGTGAGCAGTCAAGTTTTCTCTAATTTCCTGGATGAGATTAGGTTGTCTTCCCTATTATATATCACAGCCTTTATTCTTACCCATGTTGGCACTTAATCATACTTTGTTTTGCAATAGAATAGCATCTTACTTGAAAATTATGTTCTGGAATTAGTCAGTGTGTAAGACAAAAATAGTATATGTTTTAAATTACCAGGAAAATGTCATAAATTGTGCTTAAAGTGTTTTTCTGTCTGCACGATCTTGTCAGTGATAGGTGGAGTCAGCGTAATTGTGTAAATGTAATTGGTCTTGTCAGAAGAGACTTTGAAACTTGCTCTTGAACAGAGTAGCTAAAGTGGATAGAAGAAATGATGAAGTAAAAGAACTGAACAAATAATTTCAAAGGGTGGCTTGAGAAAAACAAGTAAAATATCCTGATGAAATGTGCAAAGATTGAAGTTAGAAAATAAAAATGGAAGAACATGTTCAGCATTTCTCAAGCTTAAAGAACTTAAGAAAAAATACAAGCCCTGAATTGCAATATTGAAATTCTCCTTGGAAGCAAGAATGACTAGACTTGGCCTTACTTCCCTTGCAGAAAGATACCATGCTTGGTAAAGTAGAGGATCAGAGAAAAAGGAATAGACCCTCAATAAGATGGAATGATGGGCTCAAGTGTAGCAAGGATTCTGAGGTGGGTGCAGGACCTTGCAGTGTTTTGTTCTGTAGTGCATAGGGTTGCTATGAGGTGGAGCCAACTCGATGGCATCTAACAACAACAATGCAACACAAACTCATCACACTGCCGTTGAGTCGGATTCAACTCATAATGACCCCTCCTTGGGTTTCTGAGGTGGTATCAGTATGGAAATGGAGCTCTGGTAGCATAGTGCCTAAGGCACTTGACTGCTCACCAGAAGGCTGGCGGTTCAAACCCACCAGCCACTCCTCGGAAGGAAGGTTGGGCAATCCTACTTCCGTAGTGATACTGCCTCGGAAACCCAAGGAGGGGTCGCTATGAGTCAGGGCTGACTCCACGGCAAACAACAACAACAACCTTCCTTCCAAGGAGTGGTTGGTGGGTTTGAACCATCAGCCTTCTGGTTAGCAGTCAAAATGCCTTAGGCACTACGCCACCAGAGCTCCAACAACAACATGAGCAAAGTATTGAACTATGCAGGAAGTATCAATAGAAGATGGAGGGAATACAGGGAATCAGTACCATTTAAGGAGGTAGCAAATGATTAAGAACCAAGGTACAGAAGGAAGAAGTCCAAGCTGCACTTAGGGAATTGGTGAAAAGGCTTCAGAAATTGATGGAATACCAATTGAGATGTTTCAACAAATGGATGCAGCACTGGAGGCACTCATTTAGGCCAAGAAATTTGGAAGACGGTTACATGACCAACTGACTGGAAGGGATCTGTGGTTGTGCCCATCCCCAAGAAAGGTGATCCAACAGAATGTGGAAATTGTTGAATAATATCATTAATATAACATGAAAGTAAAATTTTGCTGAAACTCACCACCGAGTCGATTTGACTCATAGCGACCCCTCCTTAGAAGGTAATTAAGAAATGGTGGCAGTATGTATTGACACATAACTACCAGAAATTCAAGCCAGATTCAGAAGAGGGTATGGAACAAGGGACATCATTGCTGATGTCAGGTGAAAGCAAAGAATACCAGAAAGATGTGTGCCTGTGTTTTGTTGACTGTATACGGGTATTCAACTGTGGGAATCATAACAAATTATGGAAACATTACAAAGAATGGGAATTCCAGAACACTTAATTGTGTTCATGAGGATCTTGTACATAGACCAAGAGACAGTTGTTTGAACAGAATAGGGGGAATAGTGCATGGTTTAAAATCAGGGAAGGTGTGCATCTGCATTCTATCCTTTCACCATACCTACTCAGCCAGTATGCAGAGTAAATTATCTGAGAAGTTGGATGATATGAAGAACACAGCATCAGAATTAGAGGAAGATTCATGAACCTGTAATACGCAGATAACACAATCTTGCTTGCTAGAAGTAAAGAATACTTTACTACAGCCTGCAGTATGGATTGATTGCACCTCAACATAAAACAAAAATCCTCACAACTGGATCAGTAAACAACATCATTATAAATGGAGAGAAGATTAAAGTTGTCAAGGATTTTATTTTAATTGGATCCATTTTACTTAAAATCAATGCCCATGGAAGCAGCAGTCAGGGAAATCAAACAATGTATTGGTTTGGGCAAATAGGCTTCAAAAGACCCCTTTAAAGTGTTAAGAGCAAATATGTCACTTTGAAGACTAAGTGCACTTGATTTAAGCCATGGTATTTTCAGTAGCCTCATATGCATGTGAGAGTTGGATGATGAATAAAGAAGACCACAGAAGAATTAATTCCTTTTGAGAGTTGTGGTGCTGGTGAAGAATACTGAATGTACCATGGACTACCAGAAGAGCAAACACATCTGTCTTGGAGGAACTACAGCTGAAATGAGCCTTAGAAGCAAGCTTGGCCAGAATTCGTCTCATACTTTGGTCATGTTGTCAGAAGAGACCAATCCTTGGAGAAGGGTATCATGATTGGTAAAGTAAGAGGGTCAGCAAAAAAGGGAAAGATGCTTGATGAGATACATTGGCACAGTGGCTGCAACACTGAGCTTTATATAAAATACAAAGGAACCCTGTTGGTGCAGTGGTTAATCACTCAGCTGCTGACCAACCACTCTGCAGGGACCAAGCTTCTGATCTACTTCCCTAAAGATTACAGCCTAGGAAACCCTTTGGGGTACGTCTACTCTGTCCTGTAGGGCCAGCATAAGTCAGAATTGACTCGACACACAAGAACAATAGCATAAAAATACTATTTAGATCCTATAACAGATCAAAGAAAGAAAGTAAACATGTCCATGTAATTGATTGTGTAGCTTAAGTATGTGTGTGATACAGCTCCATTGTATGTATTTGTGATTATTTGACTATGTTTTGCATACTAGACTGTAGATACCAAGAGCCCAGGGATTGTCCCTGCTTTGTTCACTATTGTTTTATCAATATTATCATGGTCCCTGATACATAGAGGGCTCTGAAATACTAAATAATCAACCAAAGTTGTGAAAACGAAGAGTAGTAAATTGTGCTGATAGGCAAAATGTGTGCAATTATGTATATCACTCTACAGATACTATATAAAGATTAATAATACCTGTTTTTTCAGAAAATGAATGAAAAGTAATGACTTCTTTTTTTTTTTTTCCTTCTAGGAGGGTATACAAGGAAAGGTTAGGACTTCCTCCAAAGATAGCAATTGGTTATCAGTCCCATGCAGACACAGCTACTAAGAGCGGCTCCACCACTAAAAATAGGTTTGTTGTTTAAGAAGACACCTTCTGAGTATTCTCATAGGAGACTGCGTCAAGCAATCGAGATTTGGGAGCTGAACCAAAGCCTCTTCAAAAGCAGAGTGGACTGCATTTAAATTTGATTTCCATCTAAATGTTGCTAAGATATAAGAGAAGTCTCATTCACCTTTGTCTTGTACTTCTGTGTTCATTTTTTTGGGGGGGTGGGGGTGGGGCTAGAATATCCACTCTCTCTCAATCAAAGAATTACAGTCCACATCATCCCCAGAATCCATTAATGTGTTCCTGGCCCACTCTGTTATAACTTAGTAGAATTTACATTATAAAACATTTATCCATCCACAATATTTAAAAAAAAAAACAAAAAAAAAAAACCTTGCATTTCTATACATTACAGGAAAAAAATTGTTTATATACTATTGTATGCAGGAGCATATTTTGCTGGTTTGAAAGAGTATGATGCATACAGTTTTCTAGCAATTTTCTCTGTTTCTTTTTACAGCATTGTTTTTGCTGTACTCTTGCTGATGGCTGCTAGATTTAATTTATTTGTTTCCCTCCTTGATAACATTAGTGATTCTGATTTCAGTTTTTCATTTTATTTTGCTTTTGTTTTTTTTCTTCATGTAATATTGGTGAAGGATCCAGGAATATGACACAAAGGTGGAATAAACATTAATTTTGTGCATTCTTTGGTAATTTTTTTGTTTTTTTGTAACTACAAGCTTTGCTACAAAGTTATGCATTTCATTCAAATCAGTGATCTATGTTTGTGTGATTTCCTAAACATAATTGTGGATTTTAAAAAATGTAACATCATAATTACATTCCTAACTAGAATTAGTATGTCTGTTTTTGTATCTTTATGCTGTATTTTAACACTTTGTATTACTTAGGTTATTTTGCTTTGGTTAAAATGGCTCAAGTAGAAAAGCGGTCCCATTCATATTAAGACAGTGTACAAAACTGTAAATAAAATGTGTACAGTGAATTGTCTTTTAGACAACTAGATTTGTCCTTTTATTTCTCCATCCCTATAGAAGGAATTTGTACTTCTTATTGCAAGGCAGTCTCTGTTGTGTCTTCTCTTGTAGTGTCTTCCACATGAACAGCATAAGTTTGGAGCACTAGTTTGATTATTATGTTTATTAAAATTTTAAATAAATTCAATAGGTAGCATCATATATGGAATTAAATTCATGTGGCTATCTTTGTTTTTTACAAACTAGGACACAATCCTCAGTCTAAGGTAAATAATGTAGTACTCTTAATTTGTTAAAATAAGAATTGGACTCTTGGTGTATCACCATTTGATTAGCAGACATAGTGGTTGTAAAACTTGGTTGCCAAATAGAGATGTTTTTATGTAAGTGTCAAAATTGATAGCATAGGAAAAGAGTATAGGTTATGGGAGCATATGCACTAAGAATTTTTGTTAGTTTTGCTGTCTAATAGAATGGAATAAACGGGTATGAAGACTTATATTGGTAAATTGGTGTAGTACGATTTGTGTAAACTTGAAAACTTAATCTACTCTTTGCAGACAACATTTGAAAGCAAACTTGGAAAAATTTTGTCCATAATATGAAATTGTATATTTCAGATCCTGTGAAATGAAAACTGGCTAGCATATACAAAAGGGTAAGCTGAACTACAGGTAGCAGAATGAAAATCATTAACTGAGGAAAATTTGTTTTTCAGTGGTGATTATGAATTGATCATTTTAAAACCGGTAAACAAAAATTCTGTATAAAATAAACATGAAATTAGTAGCATTGATTTCATTGCAGACTTTTCAAACAGTTTAAGGATACTAAAAGCTGTCTACCATCTGAGTATTATCAGTGCCACGATAACCTCTTGTTCAAGGTTCTAGAAATACTGAATGTTTGTGTTTATAATCTCAATATAATGCACCTAATAATATTTGCTGTCTAAGCATGAGTGGTTGGTTCAGATGATTTATTGTCTGTGTTGATATGTACAGGTGTGAACTTCAAGAGTTTGCTTAAGTGAATGTGGTAGTGTGTGTTGGCATGGGTGAAATTGGAGTAGTGTAGCTGTTAGAAATTAATTGATTCTAAGATGCTGTCCAGTTTTAAGAAGCATTAGCTTTTAGGGACAGAGGATTAGTAATCTTATTAAATATATAGTTTCAAAATTAAAAACAAACAAAACTTGGTAGCATGCAATTAGCTACACCATTACTTACCATATTACAACCAAAGTTTTATTTTAAGTCTTTCCCAGAGAGTTGGAGAGGATGATAAGTTACTCTCAATCTCTTTTAGCATTTGTCACTTATATATCATAATGACTTACAGCTTTTCCTCATTTCTTTAGTACCTTTTGTAGAAAATAAAATTAGTCTTTACATTTGTTAAAAAAAAAAAAAAATTTCCCTCTCCTGTCCCAGTAGGATATTGTGGATATATATTTTCATATCAGAAAAATAAAAGTTTCTAATGGATGAATAGTATTTCATTGTAGAGTGGGAACATATTTCATGTAAACAATTTTATTGTTTAAAGAATTAAATAATTATACCACTTATATAGTACTTAGGCGCTCTGGTAGCATAGTGCCTAAGGCACTTGACTACTAACCAGAAGGCTGGCGGTTCAAACCCACCAACCTCTCCTCAGAAGGAAGATGGGGCAATCTACTTCCGTAGTGATACTCTCTAGGAAACCCTGGGAGGGGTCGCTATGAGTTGGGTCCGACTTGATGGCACATAACAACAACAACAACATACAGTACTTACTTGTGTGTCAGGCACTTTACATGTACAGTAACCTGCACATTAATCCTTTGAGATACAGCTCACGTTGGCCTCATTTTGCAGATGAAGAAAGAGAAGTATTGAGAATTTAAGTAACTTTATAGATTGTAAGTGGCAAAGTATGGATTTGAATCCTGGAAATTTGATTCTAAAAACCCCAAACCACATTACACAGTCTTAATAGGATAGGTCAAATCTGAGAGGCTACAGTAAATCAAATCAGATTGCAGTCAGTTCATGTGCCAGGCATATAAACATTTATCCACTTGATTTATTTTTAAATGAAGCTTTTCATAGATAGAGATTTATCTACACTTCTTCTGTTAGCAGTTTATTAAACTAGTCATTTTGGGAATTTTTGAGACCATGTAGGCAAAGGAACAGGAGTTCACAGGAATAATAGTTTAAGTGAATATTTTCATATGAAATTTTAAATATCTATATCCTATCTTCTAAGATAAACGGCAACATTTTTTATTTGATAGTTGAAATTCTTTTTGGCAGAAATTGCATTTAAAAGGATAATTTTAATGAAACTAGTAAGGTATTGTGACAATGAAATGTTTCACGTTTTGGCATTAAAAACAATTGCAAGTCTCTATACTACCTTTTGTCTCCAATTGTTTCTATGGATCATCTTCATTTTTGAGTGGGGTGGGGGGACACCTGGATTTTCTTACTTGGAGACCCTCTTAGATAGACTCAAGATTTTCAGGTCAGATTGATATTTAAAAAAAAAATACTGGGTCATGGTACTCAAAAAGGCATCTGGAGTAGTATAGAAAATGAAAGTGTCTAGAACAGGACTGGGCAATGTTTTGTTCAGTTGTACATAGGGTCACTGTGAGTTGGAGCCAACTCAGTGGCACTTAACATCAACAACAAATTTATATTGCAGTTTAATATTGCTGCAATATTAAAGTATGTGATCAGTTTAGGTTTTTTTTTTTAATTTTATAAAAGTATGTCTTTGACAGAATGGTAGTTTGGGAGTTAAAACTTACCCTTTTTTTTTTTTTTTGAGTTTGTTTGGGAACTTTATTAAAGTTACAATTCAAGATCCGGAACAGCAGAACAGCTCACAATACAGTTCTTTAGTCAGGACACCTTCTTAGCCATGTTCTCAGGCAGGCCTCTCTCTGACTCTCTGACCCTCATTCCCTTGGTCAGCCCCTTGGCCCAGCCTTTGCCTTGCTTCAGCAAGTATCACAAAGCTCTTTAGCTCCATCAGTATGTGCTTGGAGCCAACCCACTCTGCCAGTGAGCCTCGGCCCAAACGCCCTCAGCTCTCTTGCTCCATGGGTCAGCATGGAGGCACCTCACTCTTTCAGCACACCCACTGTAGTACTTTGCTCTGTAGGCAATCTCTCTCTTTTTTTGTGTGTGATTTGGGTGAAAGTTTACAGAGCATATTCACTACATCAGTTTACACACACGTTGTCTCATGGCATTGACTACAATTTACCCCAATGCAACAGCTCCCCTCCCTTTTCTTCCTGATAGTAACCTCTTCCCTGTGTCCATCCCTCCATGCATCCATGCATTCCTGCCCCCTGAGCTGTCTCCCTGTGCATAAACAGCCCTTCTTCCATGATTGATCTCTCCAAGAAGTGTATATACCCAGGTACATGTTCAACTCTTAATGCCTGTCTTTTGTTTGTCTGGAAGCAACAGGTGTGGGTTTAGTTTCAGAGCTGAGGGGCAACTAGAGACCATAGTCTCAGTGGTTCTATCTATCAGGCTCTACCTGACCAGCAAACCTAGTCTTCCCCCACACACACACACTTTTTTTCCCCAAATGATTTTGAGTTTTGTTCCACATTGTTATCCCTCTCTATCCAGGATCTCCTACACAGATCCCCCTCTGAGTGGTTGACAGTGGTAGCCGGGCACCATCTAGTTGTTACGGTCTCATAGTTGTGTAGGCTGAGGATTGCATGGTGTACCAGTTGCGAGGACTAATTGTTTCCATGAATCTTTAGTTTTCTTCATTCTTCCTTGCTCTGGACGAGTAGAGACCCATCGTTGCATCTAGATGGCTGCTTGTAAGCTTTTAAGATCCCAGTTGCTACTCACCAAAGCAGGTGGTGGAACAATATTTTGTGCAGTATGTTATGCGAATTGAGCTTGAGGTCCTCTGTGACTATAGTCCCGAGCCCACTGGTTCAACTACTCAGTCCCTCTGGGTAGCTGGCTGTGACCGAGAAGTGACTACAACCTTGTCCCTTGTCAGCTCTACTATACTCCTGGGAAGTCTTTCACAACATACAAATACACTTGTAGAACCATTGTCTGCCAACACTATACAGTCTTCAGTACACTCCCTGTTGCACAGACATATCTAGTAGTTAAGCCTGTCCAGCCATCTATAGACCTGTATACCCATGTTTGCCTTCACTGACAACACAGTACTGTATGTGCAAAAGGATTCATCTTCGTTGTCTGCACCTCCCATGTACCTCTCTATATCTCCCTCTTCCTCAGTGCCACCATTATCGATCATTCACATTTGGTACATTGCCCTTCTCTTCACCCAAATCAGTACTTACTTCTTACCTATCTAACAGTGTTCCCTCCCCTACCCTCCCACCCCTGGTAACCAAAGAAGAAATTTTCCTTCCATTTATAAACCATTCCTTGACTTTTACAGTAACGGATTAATATAATATCCTTCTGTGATTGACTGACTTTAATCAGCATAATGTCTTCCAAGTTATCCATGTTATGTGGTGTTTTGCAGATTCTACATTCTTTAGTGTTGCATAATATTCCATTGTGTGTATGTACCATAGTTTGGTTATCCATTCCTCAGTTGATGGATACCTACGTTGTTTCTATCTTTTGGCTATTGTAAATAGTGCTGCGATGAACATGGGTGTGCACATGTCTGTTCTTGTCATGGCTC